ATAATATATATATATATATATATGTATGCAGGTATTAAGTTTAGCAGAGAAGTTGAATTATGCATTAAATAATGTAGAGGAGGTAAAAGAGGAGAAAATAATATATGAGGATATAACGAGCAGCAGTGCAGCAGAATTATCTTTTTTATTGAATAATTTAAAGGAGAGTATGCATGCAGAAATAAATAAATTAAAAAATGATTTCTTATTACAAGCAGAGCTACAAACTAAAGAAAATCTACGATTTAGGGCTTTATTAAAGGATACACAAACAGAGACAGATGCAATTAGGGCACAAATATTAAAAGCAAAAAAACAAATAGAAAAATTAGAGGCAGAAATCGGATCCGGATAATACCTCTAAACCCTAAACCCTAAACCCTAAACCCTAAACCCTAAACCCTAGATATTTAAGGCAATTTTAAAGGATACATTAATAGAGAGAGAGAGATATTTTATTAAGGGAGAATTGCTCTCTCTTCTTCTTTTATTTATTTCTTCTTCTTATTGAGGCAGAAAGAGGATCCAGAGGATCCCCATAAACCCTAATGAACCCTAATACACCCTAATAAACCCTAAACCCTAAACCCTAAACCCTGAAGCACATATGCCACAAACAGCGAATGAATAAGACCTCTTCGCATCCAGTCTTGAAGACTAAAACTCAATAATTTCTTTTTTTTTCTTCTTCTTCCCTCTAGGGTTTAGGGTTTAGGGTTTAGGGTTTAGACGTACTCGAGGGAGAGCCATGCTGCATGCAAGTGCTGCTGCAGCAAAGATCGATAAGCAGCAACTTCTAGCTGCTGCGTGATACTCTGTGCGGTGTCTAGCAGCAGCAGCAGCAGAGCAGCAAGCTCGTGAGGGCACTGAGACACACAAACCTTAAACCCTCATAAACCCTAATAAACCCTAAACCCTAATGTTGTACATAACCTCTACAGATTCAGGGGAACAGCGAGGGTTTAGGGTTTACCGTAAATGCTGCACCAGACTCCAAAACGCGGTGTTGATAGAAAGGACCTGCGAACAAAACCCCAAACCCTAAACCCTAAACCCTAAACCCTAAACCCTTGGTTTGAACTTGTAAGGGTTTACAAAGGACACGGACATGAGCAAAAACGAGGCAACACAAGAAAACGACTCCACCGGCCATGCGTCGATACTTGCTGCTGTTGCTGTTGCTGCTGCTCCTGCTGCACTGTTTGCTGCTGCTGCGGTTCTTGCTGCACTGCTTGGTGCTGCTGCTCCTTTGGAAGCTCCAATGTTGTCGCCCCGCAAGTAACTGTCGTAGACTCTTCTCCTTGCTGCTGCAGTTGCTGCTGCTGCTGCTGCATTTGCTGCTGCTGCTGCTGCTGCTGCTGCTGCAGTTGCTGCTGCTTAAAGAACGTTTGATTATAGAGAGTTGCCTCGCTAACTTCGCGCGGCCTCCGCGAGTTGCTGAAGGAATTTAGATGACTTAGAGACACCAAACAAAAGCTGCTGCTGCTGCTGCTGTTGCTGCTGCTGGTGCTGCTGTTGCTGCTGCTACTGTTGTTGCTAGTGGTGGTGGTGCTTCTGCACCTGCACTTGTTGCTGCTGCAACTTTGGGCAGCGTTATTCGTGCTGCTGTTGCTGCCTGTACAAGTACTGCATCCTTCCGCACTATCAGCAGGAGCAGCAGCAGCAGCAGAACCATCAGCAGCAGCAGCAGCAGCAACCGCATATCTTTGTATTTGTTTTTTCTCTATAAGTAGAAGGGCTTCGCTCATCATCACGCGGGGAGCCAAACGATCCAACAAAGGGAACAGTAAAGAAAAACACACAGAAGCTGAGAAACAGCAGCAGCAGCAGCAGCAGCACAGACAGCAGCAGCAGCAGCAAGAGCAGCAACGTAATAAATATATGCTTGAGCAACACTGGCAGCAATCGCAACTGTCACATAACAAACCCTAAACCCTAGAGCGTTGTTGCCTGGGTGCAGCAGAGAGTGAACACAGATTCTTTATCTAGGGTTTAGGGTTTAGGGTTTAGGGTTTACAGCTCGATGATGCATCATATATGGCCTGAAGGGCGCGAGAAAATTCCAACAGCTGGAAGCAACGAGGAGGTGCTCCTACATGCATTGCTGCTGTTGCTGCTGCTGCTGCTGCTGCGGCTGCTGCTGCTGTTGATCCAGGTGTTGGTGATGCTGTTGCTGTTGTTGCAGCTGCTGCCTGAGTTGCTGTGGAAGCAGCAGCAGCAGCAGCAGCAGCAGCAGCAGGTGGAGTAGTAGCAGCAGCAGCAGCAGATTCTGGGGTTTCTCCCCAGCCGTTAGTCCCTTGAAATGAAGGCATCTCCTACAATTAGGGTTTAGTGTTTAGGGTTTAGGATTTGGGGTTTAGGGTTTAGGGTTTACCCGTAAGACAATGACCCCCCTCCAACGAGAGCAGGAGAGCTCGCCATCAAACCCTAAACCCTAGCGCTAAACCCTAAACCCTAAACCCTCAACGTAAACCCTGGATCGGTGTGTTTAATAATTTTA